GAGGCTGAGGCAGGAGACTCGCTTGAGCCCAGGAGTTGGAGGTTGCTGTGAGCGTGATGCCATGGCACTCTACCCAGGGGGATAGCTTGAAGCTCCGTCTCAAAAAAGAAAAAAAAAATTTTTTTTAATATACAAAGCCTGAAAGTATATCTGTTCAATTTCATTTACCTACACTTTCTCCTCTCTCTCCTTCCTCTCCCCTCTCTCCTCCCCACTCTTTCCTCTCTCCTCCCTCCTCCTCCTTCTTCTCTCTTTCTCTCTCACTAAAATTGGCTGAACTGTCCACATTGTACAGAGAGCTCCCTGAAGAGATCTGGTGGCTCACTATCCCAAGATCCATGCCTCTATAATACAGACCACTTCCACACACGGCTGCCTAGAGCACTTTCCCTGAACCCGGCTCTAATAATGATCACTCAAATGTCACTAAAGGCAATCTCCTACTTACCAAGAGAACTACAAACTCTTTTCCCAGCTCCTCACTCTATGGATCCAGAGTATTTTCCTACCGTGTCTCCCAAGTGCTCTGTGTTCTTGGCAAGCTGCTCCTTCAAGGAATTCCTGTGCTCCTGTGCTTCTTTAGCAGGTTGGGGATCAACTTGCACAGCCCTTGGCTCTTGAATACATACTGAGACATTACATAGTTAGATCAACTCTTTGGGGAAGGATTATTATTCTCGTTTTAAAGATGTGAAAAGTGAATCTTAGGGAGAGTGAGAACAAGTCTTGTCTCTGGGAAAGACTGGGGTTCTAGAAGTAAGAGACATAGTTGATAGTTTGGTAGTAATAATGAATAGAATTATTTTGCTCTATGACAAAGAGGAAGGGATAAGGTGGTCACTACTATTAGGTGCCTACTATGTGTAGAATTAATTGTTTTCCCCTAGGATTTAAATGATACATGTTTCCCGTAGAACATTTGGAAAATATAAACACACCCAATCCCACAACTGGAACAACCCAAACCTTTCTAGGAATTGCTGGCATCTAGTGGCAAGTTCAAGAATGTCAAATTATACCTGTCAATGAAGATAGGTCAAGGTAGGATAAAAAGGCTTCCAGGTTTCATCTTACCCTGGCTTCGATACATACAACTTCCTGGTTTTACAGCATTGCTTCCCTATTTAGATTGATGGCTTTCTAGGGCTCAGGATATGATTGTGTTACATTTGTTTGGAATGGTGGACATACGTTATGAAATGACAGATACGTATGGGTACCAGTTCCTCAAGTTCTTTCCATCGAGATAAAATTCCTTTCTTTGCTCTAAAAAGCCAAAGTGTGTGACTGGCATCACTTGGCCTCCAAGGCAGTGATATAAAGCTGAAGAAGTAAAGGCTTTGGAATCACAGATAGGTGTGGGGAATGAAGGCAAGTGACCTCAAAATTTATTTAGGAGAACTCTATAGTCAGATAATGTGGTAAAATTAATTATACTAGACTTGAGTAATGCATGGATGTATTTTGTAATCACTAGGGTAACCACTACATGAATAGTAACAGAATGTATCATTAACAAGATAATAGAGAAAGTGGATTATAAAAAATTATTAAGCAATCCAAAAGAAGGCAAGAGAAAAGTGAAAAACCTAAAATAGACAGAAAGCAAATAGTAAGATGGCAGATTTAAGCCCCCAAATATACTGAATATACCATATATAATATATGTTATAGATAAACAGCCCAAAAATTCCAATTAAAAAACTAGATCAAAAAACAACAACTATGTGCTTGGGAGGCCAAGGCAGGAGATCTGGGCTCAGGAGTTGGAGACCAGGCTGAGCAAGAGGGAGATCCCATCTCTAAAAACAGCTGGATGTTGTGGTGGCAGCCTGTAGTCCCAGCTACTCGGGAGGCTGTGGCAAGAGAATCACTTGAGCCCAAAGCTTGAGGTTGCTGTGAGCTGTGATACC